TATTACATTTTACGAAATTAATTTCCGCTTTTAATATATTTTGTAAAGTAATCAAAACAACTTCGGAAATATTTGGTTAAGTCTTGTTGTTGAAGTTTTGCCATTTCTCTATCAATAATTAGTTTTAGTTCCTCATGAGTTCGGGGTTTATTTTTTTCAATATTATGCCTAATGTTGTTGAAACATTTCTCAGCAGGATTAAGTTCAGGAGAATAAGGAGGTAAATAAACTAGAACAATATTCTTTTGCCTTGCCAATTCCTCAATACTTAAACCTAAATTCATTAATTCCTTTGTTGTGCGGTGAATGCGAGAATTATCTAACAAAAGATAATATGTCTCGTTAGTAGGTAATTCAATATTTTTAAGATAGTTATAAAAGTCTAGGGCATTTGTTCCTTTCTTTTTTCCTTGCCTTTCATTCTCGATTAACTTATAACTGATTACTGCTTGCTTGTTTACATTTCTAACAAAAAGAATAAGAGTATAGTTAAATCCTCTTTGTCCCAGTCGGGGAATTATTGCTCTTAACCCTTTCCGCGACCAAGCATAACGAGGGGCTTCACCCAAATTGAAACCACACTCATCCATTGCTAAAAGAAAGTTATGAGATGAAAGTCAATAATTATCAGCAAGAAACTTTTTTACTTTCTCTATATTCTGTTCCGAATATTTTTTAGTCCCTTTCTTTCAACTAATATCATATTTCCTTAATGTCCGATAAATAGCCAGTATGCTAAACTTCTGCCCTACTTCCTTATAAAGATAATCGGACATTTCTTCTAAAGTTGCTTTATTGTTATTGTCTTTGTTAAGAAAAGAAACTAGAAGCCTAACATTGTTCTCACTAATTTTTGGTTTCCTACCTACTTTTTGAAGAGGTTTATTAGGTTCCTTTCTCCAATTTCTAATAGTTCGGTCAGTTCTTTTGAAACTTTTAGCAATATTTTTTCAAGTAGTGCCTGCTTGATGTAGTCCGTTTAGAATACCAATTAACTGCTTAGTTTTGAACTCTACTGGTCTCCGAGCAAGGTTTTCAATGGTTCCAGCAAGTTTATCCTCATGCTGACTTATTACTTTTTCTTCCCCATCACCAATATTCTGATTAAACGATTGATAAAAGTTATCTGTTGAAACTTCTAACTTTCCTACTAAATTAGGAATATAACCTATTCGATAGTTATTGTAGAAATATCCTACTTCACCAGTTTGAATATTTATAAAATTATATTGCCAAATCTTTTTATTTTTAACCCTTTTTTCCTTAGTGATTTTAGCAATATACTCCACGGGATATATATATTATTTTATATAATATATAAGGGAGTAGCCTTAATTATTCAGTCTTAGCCTTATTACTAAAACTTTCTGCAGTTATTTTTTTGTATTCTTCCATGCACTGTCTAGCTATTTCACCATGTATCTGACCCTCCAAAAGATAGTTTATTCTTTCTTTATTTTTAGGTTCCATGTCTCCTACCTCCAAGTTTTTTATCAAATTGAATAAAGCAACTTTCTTCTCATAGGGTCTTTGGTGGCTAACTAAAATCTTATCAATTTTTTCGGCTAGTTGATTTTTGTCTAATTTCCTTGTCATATTTATTGCATTTTTTGTATATTATAATTTTACTGCCATTTATTATGCTATATAATTCTACCTTAATTATATATTATATTCTAATAAATTAAATGCCTATAAAATTAATACATCTACTAGCACCGACCCTCCTAAAAAATTTGAAAAATTATAATAATGTCAAAAGATAGAAAAAATTGCGATAACTGTCAACAAAGCAATAATGAAGGATACTTTGAAATCAAAAAAGGTGGTAAAGTTGTGTTAAATCTCTGTAAGGAGTGTGTTAAGTGTCATGATTGTAAACAAAGAGATGGAGAAGACCTTTGAAACGATAAATTATACCTTTGTCGGTCATGCCTGAATAAAAAACAACAAGGTGATAATAACGAGAATAACCATGATAAACCGAATAGTGGATATTGTTGCGTTAAGTGTAATAAAGATTTAAATGCAGTTGGTGGTATTAATATTTATTGAGTGGTAAAAGAACTAAAAATGATAAAGCAATACGGAATAGATGCACCTGATTATAGCACAACAGTAGGACATTGATGCGATAATTGTTGAAAAGGAACCCAAGAACCATTTAAAAATAACCCTGTAATGTTAAAAGGGAAGTTTGGGAAATATACCAAGTATTTAATAGAAAAACACGAATATGAAAAAGACCAATTTGGAATAGGAGGTGGGAGAAGTTGGGAATTGTGATGACATGATGATGTCAAAGAATGAAAGACTATAATTCCTAAACAAAGTGATAATAATGATAACCGAGAGAGAGAGAGAGAGAGAGAGAGAGAGACAAATCCAACAATTACGGGTTCGGATTGCTGAATTAGAAGCCATTGTTAACCGAACACCTCAACAAGAACAAGAACTACGGAGCAAAAAGAAACAATTAACCGAATTAGAAAATCAACAATCACAAGACCCTAAAAAAACCAATTGAACTCCTTGGCTAATTGGAGGAGGAATTATTTTAGTTCTTATAGTAATAGTGGTTGCCTATCGTTTAGGAAAGAGCAGTAAAAAGCGAAAAGTGAGGATTTAAAAGTGCTAAAATATATCATGTATATATGGCAACATTACAAGAGCAATTTGAAAGGGATTTTCCTAACAAGAGTTTATACTGAATAGATGCTGAGTGGAACAATTGAAATTATACAATCTACCATTCTAACTTTACTAATTATGATTTAGATTTAAGGGAATATAAAAATCTTCAATCATTAAAATTACCAAATGTTAAAATAACCTCTATAAACTTATCTGAATGTAAAGAGTTAAGAGAGTTAAAATTAAACAACAACTACTTAACTTCTATCCAATTTTTGGATGATTTACCCAATGCTAAAAAGGTAGAGATTTTATATCTTTTTGATAATAATATTCAATCCACTACCCTAGATTTTTTAAAACCTTTTTTTAATTTGAAAGATTGTAAATTAGGGCTTAATTCATATGGTCGTTGACAAGAAAAATTAGCCAAGAATAAATATAATCGTTTTTATGGTTCTCTTGAACCCATTAAAAACCTTACTAAATTAGAACAATTTTGTATTGCTGGCACAGATGTTGACGAGGGATTAGAGTATGTTCCAAATAAAATTGCTGAATTAAGTAAAGGAAAAGGTAAAGAAGCTATGGAATTAAACTTAATTGACTGTCAACCTTTAAGAGAAGATGCCAAAGTAGCTAAAATCCAAAGCCAACTCCGACCCTTTAATTATGATATAGAGGCATGACAACTCGCTCACCCCGAAAAAATGCTAATTGCTAGACCTGAACTATTTACTAATCCTAACAGTAAAGATAAGTGATTAAAAGCATTAAGTAAAAAGATAGGAGAGACAGAAGCAGAATTATTATTAACTGACAAATTAAAAAAGACTGAAAGACTAGAACAAAAACAAGAGAACCTCACCGAGGTTTTTACTCCATCTCCACTACAAGCGGAGAGGATTGATGAGTTAAAAAAAAGGATAGAAAATAAATATAAAACGATAGAGACTACTAGAAAACAAAATCTAGCAATACACAGTTCAAATAATAGTCTATACGGTATTACTGGGTTAGATATGAGTGATAATGAAATTGACAGAATGGAAAGGGAAGTGCAGAAACTAGAAAAAGAGTTGGGACAACTAGAAACAAAGTTGTCGGAGACAGAATTAAAAACCCAAATAGAACAACCACCTAAATAATGAATAAACCAATAAAATCCCTTTACGAACACTATAAGAACACTCCTAAAAGACTAAAAATAATCTGTGGCTGAGACGAAATAATTCAACCTCATGAACCCTATGCTCTATGGGAAGCCACTAATAGGGAAACATTTGATAGTTTTAATTAAAATGATGCTAAATTGCGAGGAGCAAGTGAGTTCCCCGAATATTTCGTGAGTTATTGATTTAATAGTCCCTCACTTATTGAATATTCTCTTTACGGTTCCAAGAACAGAGTTCATAAAAATCTTTTAGACAGACCTAGTTATGAAGAAAGAATGGAGAAGCAAGTAAGTTTTAAAAACTCCTCTAACTTCTACGAACGAGTTCCATTTTTAACTATTGCGGAGGATTTGTTGAAATTGATTAAAGAAGGTAAAGTGGAGAGGTTATTTTTTTTAAGTGCTTATGACAAAAAAAAGTTTCCCAATGGAGACCCTAGAAAGTCAGAGGTATTTAATAAAACCTTTCATGGATTTGCTAAATCTGCTGGTGATTTTTTAAAAGTGGGTGAGGAAATGATAGTAGCAAATGATATTCATTTAATCCCTTTCGATAGTGAAGCCCAAGGGCAAACCAAAGCCGAATGAATAAAACAAAATGCCCCTTATTTTGATTTAGTTATTGATGATAATCCTTATATTTGCAGGAGTTTAACAGAGGAACAACAGAGTTTTCCATTTATGAAAGTTATTGCCCCTTACTATCCAGCCATAAAACATGATGAAAGAGTTTTATTAGTCAAAAATGAATTAAGTGATTTAAAAAAAGAAGATTTTGAATAAATTAAAAAAAGCGGAAATTAATTTCGTAAAATGTAATA